TTTTTTTTTTTTTTGTCACCCTGTACATCTACCAGCACGGGTGGTAGCTCCTCTGTGGCATGGTGAAACCTTGCTCTTATAGTCTGATCACCTCTAGGAATGTAGGTTGCTCTACCTGCTACAAATGCACCAGGCTGGGTCTCCCCTTCTTCCTCCCTTTAATTTTTCAAACCTGTCACTTGCCAAGTTCATTAAAGGAGGGGAGTTGTTTGTTAATCCCATAGACACAGTGACCTGTATAGAAGTAGAACTTCTCTTCATTATCTATCTTTTTGAAGAACTCCTGGCAAATTTTTCTGAATATGCAAAGGAATAGACATATTAATAAAGTTATCAGAAAGTAATGTCATCATCTTTCACGCAGAAATTCTCTATATTTTTTAATTACTCATTCATTATATATATTTTATATAGAATTTTAATAACCTGTTTTTTATCTAAGTTCATATTCATTATGCAAAAAAAAATGATTTAAGTATTAATATACTTACGGATATTACTCAAAGAACCGTTTTGTGTCAAATGTTTTCCCAAACAGACCTCTCAACATAGCAAAAAGTGCTTCAACATCATCAGTTGTGAAATACCTAGGGTTTTCTGGAGGACGTGTTACATCTGCTGACCTCTGCAATTTTGACTCCAGATTGCAGACAAGGGCCACCACTATTTCTCTCATGAAACCACAGATGCCTTTGATTGGGCTGCAAATTATAGAAAAAAATTAAAACAATTGCCAATGTATGACACATCAAACATAATTTATTGAAAGCCACAAGAAAAAATCCCACATCAACTGTCATGATATGTTATGTCACACTCAGTGTATATGATGTAGTCTATACCCACCAGTTTACATCAATATCCTTATACCCTGGTCATGTATGTCAAGGAATTCAGCGATCTAGTATGTAATTGAGGAAGTCCTGGTTGTACTGCCTTCTTTGTGGTTCAACTGCCATCAGCTGCTCTGTGCTAGTTGTAAACTAGTTTCAGGAAGGTGGCCTCATAACTGTACCCATTTTCTTCCATGAACTTGATCATTGGTTTAGAAAACATGCTGAAAAATTTGAGGGGGTGAGTGTAATAAAAAATTTAGATTATTCAGAAATTAAAATAGTTTATAAACAATGCATTTACAGACTATGGATAAACATCTGATAATGATATGCATAATACCAGAGAATGAGGACAGCGGTAGGGACTAGGAGTCTAATAAGGCTAAACTTTCACAATCAGGCACCTCTGTGGCACCCTGAGCTTCAGAGCTAACTTGACACTAACCTTTTCACTGTAGCCTATTCTCCATCGTGTCAAGTAACCTCTGACCACATTCGATTGCCCCCGCCGCCCGCCAATCAAATTTAAAGCCCGCACTCAATGACTCATTGAACGATCTAGCCAATGAACGCGAACGAGTCAAAGCGCGCTTTGTTCAAATCCGGACCAATCAAAGATAAGGCTGAATATCAGGGACTTGCCGTAACCTGTGGGCAGCACGCAAAATACATCATCCCTCAGTAGATAATGATGCAGGGCATCAAACTGCTCTGGTTTCAATTCCGATATACTCCATGCTTTCTTTGTGTACGGTTATGCACTCGGAACTACTCGGATGTCTCCGCACTCGACAATAACTATGTTGTTAGTATGGAGCTTGCGGAATCAGCCGAGGATTGCCGATTGACGATCAACCAATCAGCGTTTTCACCAAACTTTGGTGAAAAATTTTGAAACATGGATTCGATTGGCTTATATAAACTAGGTCAAACTATTTTCGTCAGAGGTTACTTGACACGATGGAGATAGGCTACAGTGAAAAGGTTAGTGTCAAGTTAGCTCTGAAGCTCAGGGTGCTCTGTGGGCACACTCTGTTTATTTTTCCCTACAAGGGCAGAGTATGAGGTTTGTATCTTTATCATGAAGCGGCTCCACAAGTTTTGTGCAGTCAAAATCTTGAATTTGTCCATCTCTAAGATATCCAGTAATTCTTTTTAACATATGACCATGGTTCTCCTTCTCATGTAGCACGGAAGTGAGAAATCCACCATGGCGGCCCCTAGCAACGAGGTCCTAGCCACGAGATGCTAAGGCTGATAGTCAAATGTTGTAGTGCCGATCAAAATCGTATAATAACTAGGAATATAGCATATAATTTACTGTGGCTGTTCACTCACCAAATGCTGACACCTTCACCAGTTGGTTGAAAAAACTTTGATTTGGACATATTTTTTAATTTTTGTATGACCAGGAGTTTCAGCAAAAACTATTAAAACGGTAAACGAACATTTTCTGTACTTTTTGAAAGATTAAAGGGGCTCTTTCTGATATGAGCAAAAATGAAACATAATTCAAACTTATTGTAACATATGAAGGTCATGATCTAAAGCAAAATTGGCCTTTGTGGCAGATGGCAATTTAAAAAGTCCCAGAATTCCACGCGTAGGAAAGCAATGGTGAGAAGTGGAGACAAAAAAAAATGCTGCGCTTTTTTTTTTCCTTAGGCGATCTCAAAAACCTATCACTTGATCTTTATTTTCTCAACTGTTTCAGGTGAGGTATACCTTGGGGTTCATGAGAAAATAGACGAAGTTTCAGATAATTTTTGTTAATGCTATATAACTGTCTATATTGAAAAGAGCCCCTTTAACTTAAAGGAAGCCCTAAAGGAATTTTTCTTCCCTGATTTCAATCTCAGAAATACAAAGGATAAAAAAATGAATATAGTGTTACGGGTCAGAGTACCCAATGCCAGCAAAAATCAATGACAAAAGATTTAAAGAAGTTTTAATATTTTATTATAAAAATTTAGCAAGGGCCTTGACTATGGTCTTTGCTTTAATATTCCTCAGAGGTATACCCTTACGAAAATTTCCTATAGGATTCCTATACAATTTCCTATAGGATTTTCTATAGGTTCCTATAGGAAATTGATTTCTACAGGAATTCCTCTAGGAACCCGTAGGAAGTTTATGTCAATTTCATATAGAAATACCCGAAGCTCCAATACAATGATTCCTTTCGTTTATATTTGCAAAATTAACTGCAATGTATTGGTATTGTAACGACTTCTACCAATGTCAAAAGTTTTTGACATGGAATCTTAAAAAATAACCTCTAAGGATTGTATGTCTCAAATGATACTTATGTTTGTGAATTTCGCTCGTTTTGTATGCAGATAAAAGCTGTTAGTGCAGGATGGTGGTTATATCAACTTTATTGAAATTTAACTGTTAGGTGGCTGCACTAAGAATGTGTGTGTTATCAAATAACCTGTAACATAAATACACCAAATACCTTCAAAAACATTTTATTTGACAATTTCAAGTAAAAAAAATGCTGTATCCAAACAATTTATAATTTAAACAGAAATCTGTCCATCAGTAATTCTGATCATAAATGTCACGTGCAAAATCAGTTTTCATTAAAATCTGTCCATCTGTAGTTGCATCACTATCACTTCAGTTCCTTATCAATTTCTGGACATTGTTTAATTTGGCCGTGATAGCCCTTTTAGCCTCCTGGTCCGTTATTGCAAATCGTTTGCAAACGTAATCTGAAAATTAAAAAAGAACAGTGTTATAGAACCTGTTGGCCATTTTCTTGTCAGGCTAAAAATCAAAATGCAAAATAGGACATTAAATAAATATTATTAAAAGCTTTTATTGTGAAAATAAATTTAGATTTACTCAGACTATCTGTCACAAGTTTTTTTTCTTTATTTACACTACAGTGACCATTGCATACTGGAAAGACCATAGAACATCTTAAAAGAAAATGAATGACAGTTATAATTTAAAAGAAATAAATGATTTTCAAACATTTCTACCAGTCATTTAGCAGTTATAATAAAAGTGCATTACCCAAATAACTTACCACACATAGCAACAACTTTAGCTTGGTTTAGCTGGGGCTTTGCTCCCTTGTCCTTGTGGGCATTGCATGATTTCCCAGTCAAACTGTGGGTTGCCAGGACATCCCGGGACCACAGGAAATCCATTAAACAATAAATGAACTTTTTGGGATCGCGATTACGCTCTAAAAGAGCCTTTTCCTCTCTGTGGATACTCAGTCCAGGATAAAGAAGAACCTGTAAACAATACAAAGGGACATTGTCATCACCTTAATACATGGGGACAATTTACACTTGGTGAACATGCTGACAAGGTGTAATTGTTGTATGGTACGAATAAAAAGATGTGCCATAATTTCAAGTTGCAGCTTAATTGCTTTGACAAATGTAGCCCCTAATAACCATAACAAAGATGTACATAGTGAAAAACGTTCCTTTTTGATAAATTGCGGTTCATTTGTTTGTGAGGAATTTGGCAATTAATCCATTAAAGGGTAGGTTTAGCAGAAATTCAAGCACTTTGACAAGTTACGCTGATAAGTATGTTGTTCTTGTAAGACAATTTTTTAAATAATGTGATTAACCGTTACAATACTGAGACAGCCATTCAAGGTCATCCAGAAAAAAAGCATTTTCAAATTTAATGACAAAAAAGCTCCCTTACACATTAATACTTCCACTTGACTACCACTTTATGTTGACAACTGAAGAAATTGTAAAAAAAAAAAAAAACTAAATAGACACACAACAAGGAGCATTATTTAAAAAATAATAATCATGTTGATTTTTATGATGAAAATGTGATTACCATGTTCTCGTCATCACTCTCAGCGGATGAAGACCTTGAGGAGTTGCTTGAACTTATTACAGTTTGGGGCGTTGCAGGGGATGGCGTTCTTGTACAGCTGCTGGCAATTTTTACAGATTGGGGTGTTGCTGGGGTCACTGCTCTGTTGGAACTGTTGCCAATTGCTTGGACTTGACTGACAGCAGATGTTAATTGTCCCACCAGTCTCTCAACTGATGCTAATGCTAGAAAACGTTATAAATTAAATACATGTTGAATTTAACAAAACAATAAAATGACTTTATCAATAACGTTTTTTCTTTTGTAAAAGTCGTAGTATCAAACACAAGATGTGCCACGTTTTAAAGGGAATACAACTGTTCACTGCAGCCAAAAAATTAATTTTCCTGGGATAAACAACAATATTCCCATACTTGCCAATGGTTAATGAATCTATTTCTACAATCAAAGTTAGTCCCTGTTTTTTTTTAAGTTTGTCGTTTGCAATAATCTCTTAAGATGACAAGCACAGTTTTCAGAAAAATTACTTTAACTACTGTTTTGTAGTAAAATAGAATATATTATATATATGAGTTATTTACAATGTTTTTCTGTGAAATATAGAAAAGTTGTTATCCATGTTTCAATTAAACTTAATCGGAATAAAGAAATCTCACCTCTCATGTTGGCTATCACACTTTTCAAATTTTCATTTTCCTCTTTCAGCATCCTGTTTTCTTCTTTCAGTCTCCTAAGCTCACACTAATGAACAAAGAAAAGGAACAACTGTATTGATAAAACTGAATCCCTATGGGGTAAAAAGTTTGTACCAGTTCAGTAAAAAATAATACAAATCAGGTAATTATAGTTTAATATCAAGCCCTAACACAAAAACAATTAGGATTAAAAGAAACAAAAATATCCCTCATAATATGATCAGAAGCCTCAGTCCATACAATACTGTCACAAGAAATGACTATGATATGTGTAACAAATCAATATAATACCTCGTCATTGGGATTCACTTCCATTTGTCCATCTTGCGGCTACAACAAAAACTATGCTAATTAGAGGAAATTAAAATTTTTTCACAAAGATATGTACTTTATCTCACAATTGTAATGCACATTTCAAGAAATCATTTATCAAAAATTACAAAATGTGATTATTCTCAGTTTTTTCTACTGTATTGCAACTTCAGAGCTTAATGCTTAGTTTACTATATTTCATAATAGTACACCATGTGTTCAATTTGTTTGAAACATTTTTGAATTTTTACCTTAATTGCATCTTCCAGTTTTTCCTCCAATTTCTTCCTGATAGCCAACATAGAAGTCGAATCCAAGCTTCTTTTTGTTTTCTTTGCTGGAGGTAGCTAAAAAGTACAGATATTCCATTTTTTAAAACATGCTTTTAAAAATTTTTGTTGTTTTTGTATTACTGAAATGCCACAGTTGATGTGAATCAATCTTTTGGTCAATGGGTTTAATACATAAACTTGAAAAACTGCCTTTGATGATAATTTATGCTAGGTAACTTTCACTTGCCGTCAGCACTTCGGGTGTTTTTAACACTTGAAAAAAATCAATTTACAAATAAAATTTACCTTTTTTATTGCTGTGCAATCATCCTCTTCCTCATCATCCTCGTCACTTTCATACTTGGAGTTTTTCTTGGTCATTCTCTTGCTTTTTCCACCTTCTCTCCCTCTTGTGGGTGTGTTACAGTCGCCTGTTGCCACATAACTGTCCAAAAACTCCACGAGTGTCTTCTTATCATCTAAAATTATATACAAACATAAACATGTAAATGTATTTGTTTTACATGAGAATGTAATGTTGTGAAGGGAAACAAACCGAACCTGTTATGTGTAGGGCATTCTTATAGTTTGGTTCATGTTACAACAAACTGGCTAATTATATGAAACCCACAGCAAATTACCTGGTGGATTGCACTGATATGATCAAGCCTTTTTATCTTAAAGAATGGGATTACATCAAACTTCACAGGACTTGACGTGTCTTATCCCCTGTCAGGGTGGGTAAGTCATTCACCTGGATGATTTCCTTCACCTGCTTTTGTAATTAACTGCTGTGCACTGATTGAGAGATAAAATTTCCTTCAACTGCCACCCATTATTAGTGATAATGCAGTAGCAGATAACAGACAATTTCTCACCTGGATGAGCTGTAAATTCACACCTTCCCAATAGCAATATCCTCACAAAGCAATTGGTTTTATCATGGAGGATGCCAATTATAATAATTACTGTTGACTCCCAAAGCTAGTAAATGTGACAGGTAAGTTTTTGACTGGATTATGGATATGGTACTTTTCAACACTGAGTCAGTTATATACATTCACCAAACTGCACTTTCAGCTCATTTAAACAATTTGCGGGGATTTATTTAATTTATTTTATATTTTTTCCCATATATGAACATAAGGGAAGCACATCTCCATCAAAGCAAGAGTAAGTCCCAGCTCCAAGACGTGTTTAAGACCATAAATTACAGATTAAGAGACAATGAAACAGTTTAAATAATGGATTGAGGAAATAAGACTTTTCATTTCATACTTAAGTACCACTGGGTTCCAATCCTACCAAGATGAGCACTGCTTTTAAGCAAAAAAAAATGCGTTTAAATGTAAAACACATAGATAGATATAGACATTGTGCTTGTTAGAGACACAACTGGCCAATTTTCGAACATAATGCCTGACTTTTTTCCTTAACCTGTTTTCGTGTGTGAATGAAGGGAAATTAAATGCATCTTTTGTGCTTAAAAGCAGTGCTCATATTGGTAGGATTGGAACCCTGTGGTACTTAAATATGAAATTAAAAGCCTAATTTCCTTAATTCATTATTTAAACAGTTTCATTGGCTTTCAATGGTCTTAAACACTGATACTCTAAAGCAGCTGGACGCAATTTTGTTTTTTGTTTACTTTGTATTTTTGCTTGTCCTTATTGCGCAAATAGAGGTCTACCAAGTTTTCGTATGCAATTAAAAATACAAGTGAAACATTATTCTAACAACATCGCATACCTCCAAATTTCACAATCCTGGCTCCATAATAGTCTGTCTGTTGTTTTCGCTTTCCGGGCCACTTGACTATGACCTCTTTACTGAAATCCCAAGTCTCAGGGTCCAGTTTAGGTTGTCCATGTATCCAGCTGCAATCTCCTACCACACAACTAAGATCACTAGTGAACTCAAACAATGCAAACTTCATTTTGTAAAGACGAAATAGGGCAAATAACTACGACTCGTCTCTAGACACGTCCGTGCTCCAACGTCTTCGAATCTGAACTAAATGCTTTTCCAACCGAGGCCACTGGTTGGATGATCTCGGAAAATTCCGACTTCACACGACCAGATTTATTTTTACACAAATTTTACTCCAGAGAAGTTCTAGGACATATTTTTTGTTTTTTTATTCATGATTTCTCGTTTTTCATTTTAAAGATGGACAAGAATATAAAACTGCGGGCGATAATCAAGCTTAATTCATTCGTATATGTCCGGAAGAGTATGGCGAATGCACACGAGTAATGCCGAATGCTGTACCGAATCTTATCCTCCACTCCAGCTAACTGGTGCATGACGGGAGATTAGATTTGATGAATTTATGATTAGTCAAAGAAATATACTTAGTAAAGTTAAAAAACGGAAGTGGTTGAATCGGTGAGTATTAATTTAGATTTTAACGATACATGCCCATTTTTTAAATATTTTAATATAAAACTTTTAAAAATCACATTGAAATACTTGATTGGAGATTACAGAATCTCGTTCAAAAACGAGATCGTCGTCATTGGCGGTAAGCAGTGAAATACGCGATACAGGTTTTTTTCATACTGTTGTCCTACATCCTTGCCTACATGTAGCATAATGAGTAAACGAGGCCCATACAAGAGGTATATTAGTGAGACGGACATCCCACGTAGGACAGCTTATAGATGGAAGAAGGAATTGCGCTCGGATTGGACATCAGACGAGGTAAATGGAATCAGAAGCTTATTTTTATGATTTTATCAATTTAGTCAGGCTTACGATCAACACCGACTGTTATGCAACACATTATTATTATGATTTATAGTAAAGCATAGCTTTTTCAGATACGGGGACACTTGCGTCCCGGTCATGACTGCCTAAAAATAAAAAGGACCGGGACGATATTTGGTAGTGTTTGTCCTCTGGACTGAAAAGTGTACGTTATGTGGAAATTCAATATAAAGTGATTCAAGCCTATATTATTAGGATATAAAACATCGACTTACGGACCCGCAGATTTTCTTGTAAAGAAAAATAAAATGCTTAGTAGTTTTTATTAATTGGGAAAGATTATTGCTTTTTTTTTTTTTTTTTTTTTTTTTTTTTTTGTGTGTGTGTGTTCCTTTGATTTTAAGTAACTATTGTTCCTGGTCTCCAGGTTTTGGAAAATGAAGCAGGAATTGGTAATAAACAAGATGAAAATGATGGCAGTCAGGTATATATGACATCATTTCTGGATTATTATGTTAATTAATTTTTTACAGAGTGGTTTTGTCCAACTTATATAATAATCATAATGATGTGACAAAATTGTTTAATATAGAGAACTAGAATTTTCCTCCATTCTGTAGTAAGTTATATCACAGAACTCTTGGTTGCAGATTACTAGGTCTCATTCAAAAAGCAATAATAATGCCACAAGTTGAAGTTGTTTCAAATGCAAGATACTCAAGTTCAATTTATTTTTAGTGCCTCTCTCCTAGCAGGAGTAAAAGAGGCCCATACAAGAGGTATAACAGTGAGATGGACATACCACGTAGGACAGCTTATAGAGAGAAGAAGCAATTGTGCTTGGATGGGACATCAGACGAGGTAAATGACATCCTGAAAATGAGCAACACAGCCCAATACAAAAGAAAAAACTGAATACTTTAGCCTCAACTAATACTGTTATTTCAATTATTTCTACATTAAAGAGTAAAATGCTTGTAAACAGACTGTTTTAAGATGATGTTTATACTTGTTTTGAAACTGGTTCTAGTAACAAAACTTAAATTTTGATTTTGTAACTCTTGCCTTGCCATTGTGTATTTCTTAGATTTTAAGTAACTTTTCTTTGGTGGTCAGATTTTGGCGCAGAAATCAGGAAATGGAACAAGACAAGATGAAAAGGAAGATGATCAGGTAAATATGACTAATAATTGTGTTGGCATCTAGAGTTTTCTTTGTTTACATTGAGCATTGTTTTTTCTTTCAACATTCTGCTCACATATTTATTCTAAAACTCTCAGTGCTAACCTCTCTAAAGATCAACTGAATCAAATAAATAAAGAGGAGATGCTTGTTTCTTACAGCATGAATTTACCCCATAAAAGCAAACTGAATCAATTATAAATGTAGCTTAAAGCACAGGAGTTGCAGCCAATATTATATGGTGAATTGCACATTAATGTACATGTCTGAAAACTGGTGCATACTAATCAGGGAAATAGGAAAATATAGTGAATATATGTGTACATTTTTTAGTACTACTGTCAAAGCATGAAGAAAAGAGGCCCATACAAGAGGTATAACAGTGAGATGGACATACCACGTAGGACAGCTTATAGAGAGAAGAAGCAATTGTGCTTGGATGGGACATCAGACGAGGTAAATGACATTCAATGGTGGTCATCCTGAAAATGAGCAATGCAGCCCTATATGCTAGAAAAAAAAGATTGCCTTAAAGGCTTACAGACTGTTTTAAGATAATGACTTTTAGTTTTTACTTGTTTTAAACCCAGCACATGAATGTTGAATATAAATTATGAATGAATATTTGATCCCCATTTGCAAGTGCTGATTCAAAGTATTTTGATGATTCATTCTCTTTGTCGCCAGGTACTGTCAGCTGATCTTTATTTAGATGCCCCAGATGGACCTTTGTTTTCTGGGGAAATTATCCCTGAAACATCAGCTGATCAGGTAAGTGTGTGACATTTTAGACGCAAAGTTATTCCAAGTTTTGCACCAGTTTGCATCTTGATATCCATCAATTTATATATGTACTGCTACACTATGGATATATATATATTTTAACTTTCACACTTACCTGTATAAACATTGGATTATCCTGTTTGCATTATACTAACTAAAATAAAATAAAGTTCTAGTGTTTGAAAAGGAGACATTTCAGAGCCAATATATTAAATAGAAAGGAGTACTATTACTAGTATTTGATTAAGGGTAGCATGTTTATGTTTTGGACAATTTCTTGGTTTTAAATTACCAAGATTACCTCATGCCTATATAATTTAATTAATTATGTTTATTATGCATTTAGAAAAAGAGAATCTTTCTTTGCAACGGATATTGCATGTACATGAGCTCTCCGCATCGCAATAGTTAGGTTATATGAACTATTTATATATTGTAATCTGGGCAAAATGCCTTTATACGAAAATAAAGATATATATAATTATAAAATATTGTGATTTTTTTATCTCTACAGCAGGAGAAATTTGAAGATTTAACAGAGACATCTATGCACATGAGTAATGAAGAAAGTTGTCATGATGAGGTTGCAGATCAGGTAATTGCACTATTGCTGGTAAAATCCTAAACCTTATAATTTAGAATAATGGATAACTTGTTCGCTTAGAAATCATTTAGTTTGGTTTATTTGGTTTTGTCAACCTCAACTTAGTATCAACACACAATGGCGGTGTTGCCTTCTTCGTTTTATTATGAAAAATAAAATGCTACTTTTTTATAGGTCTTATTGTGAGATTTTGTATTATCTGTACCGAAGAATAATGATTTTTCTTGTTCTTCAGGTTTTGGTCCATGAAGTTTATTATTCAGAAGGCCCAGATGCTAGTTTGTCAGGAGAAAATGAAACTAGACAAGATGAAAATGAAGATGGTCAGGTAAATTTGAGTACATTGGTAATGTGAGGCTTTTTTCGCTCATAATTTGATTTTTAAAATTTCAGTATTAACATCTATTTTTACTAGCTTATGCATACTATCCATACCACCAAGATAGGTAGTAAGGTCTATATAGAACAACTAAATTGACTAACTAAAGGTAAAATTACTTGAGCTTTTGGCTTCAAGTCTATGTTGCACTGTTATTTCCTTCACAAATGTGATTTGTTTCTTGCAACATTTATTAACTTGATAAAAGGTTCTTTTTTTAATCGGAATGTTTATGCTCCCATAATGTGTTATTTTATAAAAGGAATTAATTGGTATTGATATAATTTCAGGATTATTTTACAAGAGATTGTGACAATATACAGCAGGAGGAGCATGATGATGACCCGAGGGTAAGCTTTCATTGTTACTTGACAAAAAGTGTATGGCAGGATAACGGAGTTTCATTTTTATACAACAGCATATTTTGTGCCATACTTAAGTTATAATTTAATGAGGCATAAAAATCTGAATTGCAGAAAAAGTAAAAATTCCAGAAACTTCACAATCAAAACACTACATGCCTAAGCATGTGTTGACAAAATGAATATATTATAACACATTTTCAATATCAATAGTTTCCATTTTACAAAAAGTTTTGTGGACCATTCTGTTTTAAGTTAAGTAACCATGTAATTCAATTATATAAATATGTGTATAGTTTGTTGTGGAAATGTGTGACCTTGACATGACATTGACTGTATCTTGAAAGTCGGACTCTACAGTGGGGGTTAATTCATTAAGAATATTAATTTCTTTTCAGGGATGGAACATTAGAGATGGCAATGACCCACTGTATACAGGTGCTACATTGAGCAAAGCACAGGGTCTTTTGTTGATTGTGGCCTTCATACTTCGACATAATCTGACAGATGCTGCATTGAATGACATGTTAAGCATCTTGGGGGTACTTCTGCCCAATGCATTTCCTGCGACAAAATATAAATTCTACAAAGCTTTTTGTAATGGAGAGACCCAGGTATATGTTTTATTTATATGGGGTATTGACTTGGTAAAAGGGGTTAAATATAAGAGGCATATATTTTTTTTTTTCAAAATGCCAGGGAAATGCTATTTATCAAGGACAATCATATTTTAAGATCAAACAAAAGATTCAACTTACCAAAGTTTAAGACAGATTTCGATGCTCTTTTATTGGTTGCAATTTTAATAAATTGTTATTATTATTATTATCTTTTAAATGGAAATGAGCTTTTGTTATTTTTTAGTTTATATTATTTGATTTTTAGGTCCACTTTTATTGCCCATCATGCACCTCCTACCTGGGTAGAGAAAAGGCGAGGCAGATCTGTGGATCATGTGGAGAAGCATTTGATGGGGAGCAAGCGATCAAGGATGGGACATTCTTCTTATATATCCCCATAAAAGAACAGTTGTTGGACATTTTACGAAATGATAAACTGAGTCGTCATTTGACGAACCGCAATATAGAGAAATTGTCAGCTGCCAGCGCCATTACAGATATAACAAATTCACATCTGTACAAAAGTTTAATCCAAAAACATAAGCTCACTGGGAATGACTTAACACTTACGTGGAACAGTGATGGCATCCCAATCTTTAAGTCATCTGGGTACCAAATTTGGCCAGTGCAGTGTTTTGTTAATGAGCTTCCCCCACATCTTCGTTCTGAAAATATTCTATTAACTGGACTTTGGTTCGGACATAGCAAACCGAGTAACATGAATACGTTTTTGAGGCCTTTTATCGATGAATGTATTCATCTTGAAGAAAATACATTCAGTTTTCAAGGTGTTCAACGCAGAGTTTTTCCACTAATTTGTTGCGCAGACAGCCCTGCAAGGGCTTTGATCAGGAACTGTAAACAGTACAATGGACAATTTGGGTGTGACTGGTGTGAGCACCAAGGTGAAACCGTTGTTACAGGGAGAGGTCCTCCAACAAGATATTATCCGTACAGGGAGGTGCCAATGCGTACTGATAGCAAACAAGGGGAGTATGCTTTGCTAGCAGAAGAAGCAAATGAAGCTGTGAAAGGTGTAAAGGGCCTTTCAGTGATTCAGCAGCTGCCAACATTTGATGTTGTAAATGGGATGACTCCAGAATACATGCATGGTGTGTGCCAGGGAGTAATGCGGCAGTTGACATCACTATGGTTAGATCCGCCGAATCACGAGGAGCCATATTATGTGGGAAGAAGCAGTGCTGCCATTGATAATAGGTTGTTGAGCATCAGTCCCCCATCAGAGATTAGCCGGTCACCACGCTCAATCAAAGAAAGAAAGTTCTGGAAGTCATCAGAATGGAGGTCTTTACTAATGTACGGCCTTGTTGTTTTTTACGGTATCTTGCCTACAGTATACCATCAACATTTTTTTTTGCTCATTTATGGTGTGTACTGTTTGTTAGGTGAGAGCATCACACCTACTACTATAGCAGTGGCAGATGCCTGCTTAGCCAAGTTTGTTCTTCAAATGGAGGAGCTGTACAAGCTTTCTGCATGCACATTCAATGTGCACCAGTTAACACACTTGGCGCATGGAGTGAAGATGTGTGGACCATTGTGGGCAACTTCAGCCTTTACTTTTGAAAGTAAAAACCATGATCTTTTGAAATTATTTGCTGGAACTCAGTGTGTGCCACAGCAGATTTGTTCAACCTTTAATTTGATCAGGATATTGCCAGCTTTGGCCAGGAATTGTGTGACAGAAGATCATGATTCTGATGTAATGAGTTTGTTTAATGAGCTTACTGGCAGTTCACCTTCTATGAAGAGTAAAAAGATTTTGGACGAGGGGCTTTTTTCCATTGGGAAAGGAAAGAAGACAGCATTGACTATTGCAGAGACTATTTCTATTATGGAATTCTTGAACTGCGATTTAAACAACCTCTCCGCAATCGTTTACCATAAATTTTGTATGAATAATATTTTGTTCTCAAGCAGTCAGTATACACGTGCAGTGAGGCACAACAACTCGTATGTTAAGTTTATGGGTGGCAAGTATGGAAGAGTTGTGGGACTTTATGTGGTTAAACCACATTGCAGTTGTGAGACTGATGAGCTCCAGTATTGCCAGTGTGCTGTACACAATGTTGTTTTGTTAAAAGAACTTGAATGTGTTAAGCGGGATCTCTTCAGAGATGTGGAACTAGGTGCAGTGTCAGAATTTTTGCCAGAAGTTAGTGAGTCAAACCGAATATTGGCTATTTCACCTGTAAACATTATAAAAAAATGCATATGCTTGAAGTTGAGACACAGATTATTTTTATGTGAGTTACCTTGCAGGTTTTATGATAACTAGCTCTAGTGCACATATGTTATTAGATAGTAGTTTGTTTTGCTGTGCAGATTCATTGATATTAATTACTTAGATTGTATTGTTATTATAAAAATAATATTGTGTTCTCATGTGCATGCGATATTTCACTTGGTGATTCATAGTTGTTTTAGCTTTAGTTAAATTCCCTCTGATCGAAAAGCCTTGACAAGTACTTAATTTAAGCTATGCACCTTGAGAAGTGTTTGAATTTGAAATAAACCACGAGAAAGTCTTGAATTTCATCAAGTTAACCCGTGAAAACTACTTAAATTTGATTGTCAAGCAATTTTTTGAAAATTATTTCAATTCTTGTAATATTAACCTAGCAGACACATTTTATACAACATATGAGATTGCTTTTGTTTAGACATTAATGTGTTGAAACGCAAAGTTTTTATGAAATATCACTCTGACACTCTTGTGTACATGTATATAGATGTAACTGCCTATTTACTTACATGTTTTCTTAGTTTTTTTAGTTTTGTCTCTATTTGAAACTGTTCCCTAAAATGTTTAGTTTCTGTTAATGCTGTGCTTACACAGATTTAAGTACCACAGTTGATATCATATTCTGACAACTCCAATGAGCTTTGAACAATAAAAAAGAATAATATCAAACAAAGGTTTTTTCTTTTTTGTAGGAAATGTAGAAACTAATAGATATGTATATTTTAAAAATTTCAAAATGCATCAGTAATCAAAATTTTACTATTTGAGATAACTATGTCCCTAGTAATAACCACTCCAATTTTTTACAACTTCATTCACCCACACATCACAAATTTTGGAGCTTTTTAACTGACATGTGAACCACTTACAACTGTTTGAACATGAAAAATACAAAGAAAAAATAAAAAAAAATAAAGTGAAAAAAAAAATACAAGGATCTAGAGAACACACGCACACACACACACACACACACGTATATATATATATATATATATATATATATATATATAATATATATATATATATAATATATATCATAGAAGATGTAATATATGAGAACTATTGAGAATATGTTGTTTGGATAATTTTTTTTCCTATAGGGCTGCCTATAAAATTTCCTATAGGATATCCTAAAGAAAACCCTATACAGAAGCTTTCCTATAGGATCCTATAGGAATTCCTATAGGAAATCCTATAGAGAAGCTTTCCTATAGGATCCTATAGAAATTCCTATAGGATTCCTATAGGAATTCCTATAGGAATCCTATAGAGAGGTTTTCCTATAGGATCCTATAGGAATTCCTATAGGATTCTATAGGAACCTATAGGATCCTATAGGAAATTTTCGTAAGGGATTATCCATATTGACCACCTCCACCATGCCTTCCATACCTCCACTACTAGAGGAACCCAGGGACACATCACTCCTCTGACTACTATATATCAATAATAACTACTGTCTCTTACCATTATCCATATTGACCACCTCCACCATGCCTTCCATACCTCCACTACTAGAGGAACCCAGGGACACATCACTCCTCTGACTACTATATATCAATAATAACTACTGTCTCTTACCATTATCCATATTGACCACCTCCACCATGCCTTCCATACCTCCACTACTAGAGGAACCCAGGGACACATCACTCCTCTGACTACTATA